GTTCAATGTGGAGATGACGTTTTAAGGAAGCGAGTGCTCTGACCAAGTGACAGGCTAAGGTCCCGCTTCTGTGGGAGTCCAAGGTCACCAAGCACTTTTGCTCACCCCCCAAGTCTGGCTTGCACCCTTCCCTCCAGGGAGCAAGGCAGAAAAACTTGGACACTGCCACCACCTCCCCCAAGCCCTCCCTCCAGCCCAGAGGCCACTGTGTCCCTGTGGAGGACCACCTGAGCAGCTCTCCTTGAAAGAAGAGCGACTATCTCCATTTTGACTGAGCCTGACCCTATTTCCTTATATTGTTATGTACAGAGCTGGCTAGGACTTCTGTTTATCTTTCAGTTGGCCTTAAGCAGTGTATTGGTCCAGCTGAGGTGCTGGTGATAGTCTTTGAAGGTGGCCTGCGTGTTTCTCTGGTAACCTATACCTGCTGCTCTTCTTTAAAAAAAAAAAAAATTATTTATTTGTGTGTGTGGCCAGCTCAGCCCACTAGAGGGCAGGGTTGGCTGGCATGTGGTGCTGGGGGAATCGAACTGCGGTCCCTGTGATTTGCTAAGCTTGTTCTAAGTAGGTGCTTTAGACCACTGAGCCATCTCGCCAGCCCTACCTGCTGCTCTTTAAAGTGAGCCGGGTTGAGACAGGACGGTAGAGCTAATGATCCGTAGTGCCAGCTGGAATCCAGCCTCGAGACAGAGGCCATGACTTCCTGGGGCTTGAAAGGCTACACCAAAGCTGAAGCACCAGACTTACCAAAACATTAGATACTATATAATGCAGATTTTCTCTGCATATCGCAGAGGTAAATTTAGGCCAGCCACCTAGCTCAGCTCATAGTAGTCTCTTTCCCACAATTCTCAGTCAATCCTCAAGCCATTCCCCTACTGAATAAAACTGGGTGAGGCCCTGGGTCGCTCTCTTGGTTCCAGAAAGCCATCTTCTTGGCCAGACTTAGAGCCTCTTGACTCCCCGATGATTGAAGATATAATTTAGTGTCTTTATTTTCACCATGGATTGCATTGTTAAGTGATAGGTTGGAATCAATTTGATGGGATTCCAATAATGTAATTTGGGATTACAAATACTGGCTTCTTGGACCGAGACGAGGACCTGGAAGTGTCTCCTACACGTCCCCAAGTACTGTTGGCATCAGTGTTGTGCCCGCAACAGGAGACTGAGTTCCGGGTCTGCTGGACAGGCCAGGGCTGGCTCTCCCCTCCTGGAAAGACCTCCTGAGCCCCTGTGCAGCTCCTCCCACCGCACATCACCTCCTACCACTCCATCCATTCTCCAAGGGTCACCAGGGCCCTGCCTGGTCCTCACCTCTGATCTTCATGCCACAATTTCTAGTGCCTTCACGATGGTTCTTGACACCAGCCCCATTTAATGCATGTATGTGCCTGCTGGATGCTTCCACCCAGACACCCCAAAAAGGCTCCAGCAGTTTTCCACAATCCCTTGTGCTCACTGTACCTGAGGAGGGATGTGGAGGCCTCCAGCGGCTCCACAGCCAGACCCTGACCAAGAGAGCTGTCAGGTATAGGTTCTGCCTGGTGCTGAACTGGCAGGGTAGGGCAGGGCAGCCCATCAGTAACGGAGGTAAGCTGGGCAACTAAGCAGCCCAGCAGGGGCCAGGGGCCCCACACTGGGAACATCCTCATCCTATGCAAGAGGAGAGTAGAAGATGGTGTGAGTGCTACACCATCCTGGGCGCGGGAGGTAGCCTGCTTCCAATAGAAGAGCAGAGGCTCACCCTCCGCCCTTGGCTCTTGCCCTTGCTTTTGCTAGGCTGGCCCTCCGCCCTTTGCCCTTGGTTTTGCTGTCTTCTACAGCCTCAACTGTTGTCCCTCACCACGCCACCCTGCGTTGGAGCCAACTGAGTATGGACTGAAACCTCCACAAACTGTGAGCTAGGTAAACCTTTCCTTCCTTAATTTTGGATGTTGGGTATTTTGTCTCAGTAACAAGACAGCCACACACCTCTACTCCCAGAGCTTCAGAAGCCTGAGGCAGGATGACCACAAGTACAAATCTGCCTGGGCAATGTAGCAAGACCTTGTCTCAAATTTTATTTATATTTATTATTATTATTTTTTTTTATTTGCAGCACTTGCCAGGCAGGTGCTTATGCCGCTGAGCTATATCCTCGGCTCAAGATTTAAAGTCAGGGCTGAGAATGTGGCTTAGTGGCAGAGCCTCTGTGGGTTGGGTCCCCCCACCACACATGCACATACACACACACCTAGTGAGCCAGCGGCAGCTTCTCTGGGCCCCTGCTGGGCTCCAGGTCCCTGGTGTGGCTTCATCTTTGGAGCCCTGAGTAGAGGAAGGCTTACAATTCTGATCCCCGAGGCACAGGCTGGAGGACTGGGTATGGACTGCACTCTAACCCCTCAATATCCAGTGGGGGGCTCGGCACAGGCAAATTTTAATTGTTTGAAATTCAACTTCAGGTAGACAAAGCCAGGCAGCTAACAGTGTGACAAAGGAAGCAGTGGTGAGCAGAGTCGGCAGGGAGTGCAGGAGGATGGCTGTGACTCAGGCCACTGGGGCCTGGTTCATGTCACAAGCAGGAAGCCAGGCAGGGCAAGGCGCAGAGAGGGCTGGGCCACAGCTGTCAGACTGTCCCAGGGCTCCTGCATCAGCCTGACCGCCTGACCACCTGACTGAGAGGCCAGAGGAAACACCTGAAACCATGCTGAGGTCAGGGAAAGCCAGCCCAACTCACATGAGTTCCGACCTGTGGCTGTGCACCAGACCACCCTACCCCCATTTCCAGGAGCTTCTCATGCTGTGCAAAGCACTGCCAGCCTCAGCTGCTCTCGGGCTGAGAATTTTTTAAAGCATTATAAATTTTTTTTATAATATCTATCCTACAAGGGGGGGGGGGGCCTGCCCCTTAGCTCAGTTCTTTAAGTGGCTGCTTCAACAAAGCAGTCAGGCTCAGGTTGCTGTGGTTCGATCCCCACAACTCCAGCCAGCCAAACCTGCCCTCAAGGCATTTGGAGAAAAAAAAAAAAAATCTGTCCGACCTCTGATTTTCCTGCCCCCTCTTCTATTTGTTTTAGTGCTGAAGCTGTAACAACAGTAGGAGCCATTTAGGAAGAAAGCAATATCTGAACAAAAGAGTTTGTGGACCAGAACCTTCATAAAAGTATATTGGATGTTGCCAGCCTCCACGCTTACAGGGAGCTTGGAGATTAAACCACTCCGCTGAAATTAAATGACCACTGATGGGCAGAGCCACCACATGGCCCATTTAAAAAAACACAGATTTTGAACTTCTGATGTTAGGCTAGGTAAACAAGTTATACCGCTAGTTAACCCCTTGGTAACCGGAAATTTCTATCACCAGCGTGTGACGCTCTAAACTATGATTAGTGAAGGCTTCATTGATTCCAATTCGAGCAGCGGGCCACTGGCCACATCTCTCCTCTCCCAAGATTCCTGTGGGAGGCAGGAGTCAACTGGCGGCAGACAGCAGGCTTTAGGCAGCAGTGAGGATTCTGCACGAACAGAAAACTGACGCGAGGATCAAGGCGACCGCACTAACGTGTTTCAGCTATTAAAACCC